AATTTTGTATATTTCGTAGTTTTTTTACCAAGCCACGGCTACTCAGCCCACCCGCTACTACAAGGCGGGAACCCGTTCGGAGGGAACCCTTATGGCCTACGCGATACATACGAGCTGTCACTTATTAATTGTAATAATTTGAACTATTTATATTTATGTTATAAAATTAAGTGGTTTTTATTTGTGATGCGGGAGTGCCGTCAATGCACCAATATAGAAGTAGTAGTATAGTAGGGAAATTAATATAGTAAAATGGCGTGATACATATTCTGAGGAATTTCTCATACAATGTGGCGTGAGGCAGGGAAGGCTAACATCGCCTCTCCTAATCTATATGTTGATCAACTGATCAAGGAGCTTAGAAGCACCAGATTGGGTTGCCACATTGGTTCTGATTGCTTTAATAACTTGAGTTATGCTGATGATATGGTGTTGCTGAATCCCTTGACTCACGCGTGCACTAATTCAGATATGTGAGAAATATGCGATGAATCATAACCTATTGTACAACACCAAGAAGTCTGTTTGTTTGCTTTTTAAAAGTGGTAGGGTTCAACCTCATATCGCCCCAGTGTATTTGTCTAATTCGCAGTTGGAGTGGGTAACGACGTTTAGATACTTGGATCATATTGTTACTCAGGATCTGTGTGATGGTTTCGATATGGACCGCGAGCGACGTTCCTTGACAATGCGTGCCAAAGAATAATAAGAATTATTATTTAAGGTGTAATCTTTAAATTTAATTTTGTAATGGATCGGTGTTGTCTGTTCCAAATAAATTATTATTATTTGGGGTATCTATATAGTTTTCTCATCTGGTTGGTTTTTCTATAAATATATAATTATAAATGAAATTATAAATATACATAAATATCAATAAAATAAAATACATAAATAAATAAAAGCCCAACCTGATGGAAGCCCTCGGCAGGGGGAGACCAAACGGCCGAGGGTTAGGGGGAAAGGGAAAGAAACCGGCGGACGATGCGGGCGGGATCGAGGAGCACCGCCTTCTGCATTTGAGCCCGGAGCGGTCCGTCACGGAGCCCCATTCGCTTCAGATGACCCGAGGGGCTGACTGGGATTAGCCCATTCGCAGAGACGACTACAGGAATAATTTCGGTCGGCAGACTACACCACATGTCGGTCACCTTGTGAGCCAGGTCCAGATATATTGTTCGCTTATCTTTTTCGGCTTTCACGAGGTTCTCGTCATACGGAATGGTAATGTCGACCAAAAATATGCTTAACTTTGTCCGGTCCATCAGCACAATATCAGGCTTATTAGCGAGAATAATCCTATCTCTGATGATGGCTCGGTCCCAGTAGAGCCTGGATCCTGGAAAAACCGGAGATGACATGCCTAAGTGACTCACCGGGATGACGACAAGCTCGACAGAAGGCGAAGGTGCCATCCTTTTGGATGTATCTCCGATAGTTGTTGGTCTTAATAACCTGATCCTGTATTGCACAGACAAAACCCTCGGTTTCCCCGAAGAGGTCACCAAAACGTAGCCAGTGGTGGGAGGCTAATGTGTCTACGAAAGGCTCATGTAGAGCCTTGTAGAACCTCTCGTGGAGCTCCTTCTCCTTCCATACGGTCTCCCGGTCGGAAATGCTCTGCACTGCCGGGTCTTGCCATTGCTCGTTGGCTAAGGATAGAGGGGTAAGTCCTTTATCACAAGAAATGACGTCCTTATGGAATGGATCATCCGCTCGCCAGGAAGTAATTACGGAGGCTGCACACTTCGCTATTATGCATAGTGAGCGCGCTCAAAAAGCCACGCCCACTTATATGCTTTCGCGGCAAGTACAAAGTAAATTATTATTTACATATATTATACTATATTATTTATAATTCCAGTGTCAGTGCAAAAACCTAAAAGAAGTGGGGATGTATGATATTGAGAACGTTTTTCCTTTCACTATAATGTTAATAATTTTTAAAGCGTAATTCCCTCACAAGTTGTGACGGTAGTTTTCTTAATTTTGCAGCTTCATGATTGCTTGTTGTTATCACTGAGTTTCTGTGAATAAGGTGAAAGCGCCAGGGTAGTCCGCGAAATTCAAATTTTGTTACGTTTTTAGCAATTTGCAGGTGTGAGATTGTATGTTTAAGAAAATATGATTCGCGACCGTAACAAGTATGTATTTACATAATTGTTATCATTAAAATCACCAATACAACCCTCTAAGTTTATATTCTGGAAATAACCATACAACGGAATTATACGAACTTAGAGGATTGTATTGATGATTATAATTCTGTAAATACATACTCGTTATGGTCGCGAATCATATTTTCTTAAACATACAGTCTCACACTGACATGCTTATTGCAAAAAACGTAAGAAAATTAGACTTTTGCGGGCTACCTCGGCGATTTCACTTTATGTTATTTGTTTTTTTTTTTTTTTTGATTTGACATGTATACACAATCTTAGAAATATTTTTCAATAATGATGCCAATCATCTGAAATTCGACGCCTCCAAAATACAAGCGCTATAAAAAGCGGCTCACCCAGACTCGTACTTTCCGTAATATATCTTTGAAATACACTGACCGCCTTCAGTTGTTAGTGCTGAAGATTTCTTCGAATCTATAGGCGTTTCATTGAACCTAGGGCCAAAGCAGCCGCAAGGAAACTATTTATCTTAGCTGCAGCGGTACTTCACGCAAGGGCAGCTTCTTACCTTATATAAAGCACAAGTCCGGCCGTACATGGACTACTGCTGTCGCTTATATTCCAGTGCTGCAAAATGTTATCTATAGTAGCGTTGGAGTTAGTGGAGAGACGTGCTTAGAGACTTTTTGGTAATCTTAATTTAGTTGAAACCAAAGTTTTTAGTCTTGAGCATAGGCGTAGAGTAGCCAACCTCTCGGTATTCTATAAAATACATTTCGGAGAATGTGCGCAGGAATTACATGCCTTAATTCCTCCCTCCTCTTTATACCATCGAATAACTAAACGGACAGCGGGTCATCACCACTTTGTTATTGATATTCCACGCATTCGAAGCAAATGGTTTGCTTTGTCTTTCGTAATGCGTAAAACAAATGAGTAAAATAATCTGCCGTCGTGTTATATGATTACAATCTGGGCGTCGTCAAAGCAAAAGTGAACAAACTGAAGGAGAACAACTTTAAGAGATTGTGGTCAAGCACTGTCTTTTGATAAGTATTAAATTTAACTGATTCCACTTGACCGCATCCTGCGCAGAGCGACTAGAATCGTTGAAGATTGAGTTCTCACCGATCGGCTCCATTTAGTGGCGCTGCGAAGAGGTGTTGCATTCCTTTGCATTTTCTATCGCTTTTACTACGGGGAGTGCTCTGAGGAATTGTTCAGATTAATTCCAGCCACCAAATTTCACCAACACACAACGCGGCAAAACTTACTTTACCATCCACATATTCTGCATGCTTGGCGGTTCACTATTGTGCAATTTACTAGGAGATTTCTTCCTTGCACGAATACTTTTTGGAATCGTTTACCACCGGCGATTTTTAAGAACTTTTAAAAGGCGGGCAACGCAACTCTTTCCCCTGGTGTTGCAGTTGTTCATAGACGGCGATCGGTACTTACCTACCATCAGATGAGCCTCATGCTCGTTTTGCCCCTCGTCTATAAAGAAAAATTATAGAATTATAAGCAATCCTGTACACCTACATCGTTGATAAATAAAATAAAGGATCCCAAAAATTGACATTTTAAGGACGCCGATGCGTCAACCCATTCCCCAAAACATCCTTGCTTTTGGCGTAATGTTGTTTTACAGATGCGTTGAACCTAAACCAAGGCTTCAATCTGCCCGCGATGGGCACCATAGATGATGGAATTTTAAGCGACAGTAATCTAATAGTCAAGAGTGCAGACTTCTAAATATAAAATAAAAATTCTATAAAAAACTAGCCTAGCAAAAAAACCTAGCAGTCCTCTCCATAGCTCACCAAGCGACCTTGAGCTTCCTCACACGGCCAGCAGAGCCACGTCCCAGATTCATAGTATGTCATCGCTGACAACACGCAGTGGTTATCAAAAAATCTCGTTTTCAAATTTTGAGGTGTGTGACGAGAAGATTTGTGTAAATCTCCCGAACGCTGGACAACCAAGTTTAATCCGCTGATTAACCTCTCGGTCGAAATTGGACTTCTCTGGTCAGACAATTCGTCCTAGGTAAACATACAACTACCGGTATATACTGTCTAACACCTTTCTGTTGTTAGATAGGTTTCGTACTCTAGTTCCGTACTCGAATAGCCATCGTAGCCCTACTGCAAAAACACTACAAAAAAACCGCTGAACATGTGGAGAGCTCCACATATTCGTGAACATTTTCCTTGGAATAGGTCTCTTTCGAACTTGACCAACGTGTAGACTGTAGCACTCACCTTGTATCAATTTGCCTAAGCAGGCGTTGGCTGAGGCTTGGCCAACATGTATTGTTTTTTTTTTTGTTTATTACAGCCCGTCAAGTCTCTTCTATTTTGAAACAGGCATGGTAAATCGTGGTACTTAACTAATTTCCAAAAAAAAAGTATCATTCTTAATGAGGAAATGATTTTCTTTATAGTTGATTATTAAATAAGTTTTTTACTGTATCCCTTTAACGACGCTCTTATACGATCGTGCGTTCAACTTTACAAAAATATTTTCGCGCGCTCGATCAACTTTACGAGACGCGGCCGGTAACATACGGTAGTGCGTTTAGTATAGTGTGAACTTTGCCGCAAAGGTTACACTTGTGACAAGTTGTCGCGGATTTCTGCCCTTTTCAAAATGGTGCGATTTTTATAGGTAATAAAGTCAAGTCAATGAGACAACCATAGTTCAATGCATACCTCTATCGTACACGAAGATACTTGGTTGTTAGTTCAAACACGCACGATAGTGCGAGTCCGGCTTTAACTCGTCTATCAAAATTTATGTTGATTAAAAATTAGATCAATGTTTTTAATCGGTAAAAAAATTACAAAACGCTCTTTTCGAAGATGAGGAATGTCAAGAAAAGGAAGTCAACGTGGTCGTGGGAATTCACAGAGAGGTCGAGGACCTTCGCAACGAAATCGTGGTGTCTCTCAACGTGGTCTTTCTGTAAGTCGCCGGCATCATCTACCTGATCGTTCATCAAGCGCACCAAGCACATCTCATGGTACTTCTCGGTACCGCACGAGGGACCGCGTGAGTAGAAATGATCAGCTGCCTGATTTATCTGGTAATCCGCCACCTAGCGTTCGTGCTCAGTCCGAGGCAGCTCAACGCAACAGGGATCCGTCTAGGCGAAGGCTATGGAAATCTATTCCATTTGACCAAAAAGAACATAATTTTCCGCCACGGGAACAACAAACAATTAGAACACCTCTCGAATACATCGAGGACTATTTTCACGATGCATTTTATGAGAAAGCTGCTTACTGCACAAATAATTACTACTTGAGGCAAACTGGAAGGGTTCTTCATACTAATCCTATAGAAATGAAGAAGTTCATTGGTGTGCATTTTATAATGGGGTGCATAACTTATCCACGACTTCATATGTACTGGAGGCAAGAAATGAGACTGACATTAGTAGCTGATATCATTCCAAGAGATCGACTGAAGCTATTGCGCACAAATTTTCATGTGGTGGAAGAGGATATCGCCCCAGTTGGTAATAAGAACAGTCTATGGAAAGTACAACCGGTATTAAATCAGGTAAAAATGCCTGTGAGATAATAGAAAGGCTAACAGGGTTACTATTCTATAGACGAACAAATGATCCCCTTCTGCGGTTTGTGCCCAAAAGGTCTACGCCAAGTCATAAAGTCTAAACCTAGACCATGGTCTAATGCTCGACTTTGAAGTCTATCAAGGGGCTAACACCCCATTCACAGATAAATCTCTGGGTGTGGGTGCAGCAGTTATTTTGCACCTTTCCAAATCCATTCCCCCAGGAAGTTGCATTTACTTCGATCGTTATTTCACGTCAATACCTCTCTTGGTAAGATTATCTGAAAAAGGAATGCACGCAACAGGAACGGTTATGATGAATAGAATACCTGACAAAAAATATATGTCTTTTAGAAAGTACCGTGAAATGAACCGAGGAGATACTGAACAGTTCGTAAATAATGGTGTTGTAATTGTGCACTGGATGGACAACAAATCCGTTCTGGCGGCATCCAATTGCACTTCGGCAGACGATCATATTTTCGTGAAGCGATGGGATAAAAAGGAGAATGCGTACATCGATGTCAGGCAGCCCCTTATATTTATAATCGGAACATGGGAGGAGTTGACGTCCTCGACCAATCAATTGAGTATTATCGAACTTTTATGAAGACCAGAAAATGGACTTTGAAGATCATGTTACATTTTTTTGATCTTGCAGTCGCAAATGCTTGGCGTTTATACAAAATACACTGCCAGGCGGCCCACGTACATAGGGGCCAAGTCTTTGACTTACTTCAATTCGAATTGCAAGTAGCTGATGGTCTTACCAATACCCCTGATCGTCCAAGGCCAGAAAAAGATCCTGTTGAAAACATGGAAGGTTTGGAGGCTCAAGATCCGGAAAACTCGACCCAAATATCCCTGCCAAGAGATACTGACCGGCTAATGTACCTTTAGAGGCGAAACGTCACGATGGTTACGAACATTACCCGGTATTTGACGAGATCGAAAACCCTCGATCCTATAGAATGGAAGGGTGTACAAGTAGATCCAAGATAAGATGTGAAAAATGCAACGTGTATCTTTGTCTTAACAGAAAAGGCAACTGTTTCACATCCTTTCATAGGCAATAATTAGAGGCTAAGTTTCCTAAGATTTTATTTCAAAGTGATTGTACCAAAATGTTTAAGAAATGATTGATCTCAAGAAGTTATTTTTTAGTTTAAATGTTGATTAATTTTTTATTTATAAAAATAAATAATTACGAATAATCATGCCTTTTTTCATTATAAATTACAAAATTATACCTTAACAAAATTCTGATAGACAAGGTCAAGCCGACATCGCAATATCGTGACATGACGTTTTCTCAGTGCAGGGGGGGGGGTTATTTTTCTAGGATGACTTTGGATATGGATACTTAGAATATAAGATTGAAAACGAGCTTCGCAAGATTTTTTCCCCGGCCTTAAAGGGGTATTCAACATAACTTAATAACACAAAATGATAAAGTAATGCATAATAATATAATCTCTTAACAATTAGATTTTACAAAATATACATACATCAACTTAACTGATAATTAAGAGCTATGCTCAGATAAATACGTCTTTGTTTCTTTAAGGAATGCAACTGCCAATTCTCTGCGGTGAGCTACTGTTCCAAAACATAGGTACATTAATGTTGAAAGAAAAATTTGTAAAATTTGAAATACGAAGACTATTTATTTTACATAATACGAATTACTATTTAAATTCATTATTTTCAACTCTATGCTTTTATATCGTATAATTTATTAAGTAACTTAATTAATATAATTATGAGTTTCCTTTGTGTAAAAATTTGTTTTCTCTTTGTGGATCTTACATTTCTTCCTTCAACAGGTCTCTACGACTCTGCAATCATTTCTTTAGTTGGAACAATACACCGTTAATGTATTATAAGTAATAAAAGCAAAACACAAAGTGAAATAATCATAATAAAATCTGAAATAATTTACGGATTAGGGCTCATTTAGGGCTATATCTGCCCCCATACCATAGCATTTCTGAATATTAGAGGCTGTGAAAGTGTAGTGTAACCATAAAATACTATAATTGCATACATAACAGAACGGGGGGGGGGGGGGGTGAGCCCGTGTAGCCACTAAAATGTCAGTGTAGTGGCAGTATAAGTATAAGAATAACCACGGCCCCGTGTCATTCAAGTAATAAAACAGGAGATGGGCCGCAGCATCTTCCAAATGACAACTCGAATAATAGAAAAACTGCTGTAGCCAACCCGCTTGTCATATTTCATAGATTGCCATCAAGCAATCTCGAAGGGGGGCACATGCTCAGCAGTGCACTTTTATAGGCTGTAATGGATGAATGCAGAGGCTGTGGAGGCGTTTCATTTCCATTTTACTCCTCAAAGGTGACAACGCAACCCTGTTTGTATTTAGCTCCAGTCCATGGACTGCAGTAACCACTAACTATCCGATGGACTGCATCACTTCAGTTTTATAAAAAAAACTGGCTGTGCCCCGCGATTTCATCCGCGTGGATTTTATTATGTTTGGATTTCATGTGTTTCATTTTTTTTTTCGCGCAACTCCAATTCTTTTTTTTTTTTTTTTGAAATACAAATAGCCTAAGTTATTCCTTATAACATCAGCTATCTACCAGTGAAAGTCCCATCAAAATCGGTCAAGCCATTTCGAAGCTTAGCCGAAATAAACATAGAGACAGACGGATAGGCAGACACACAGACAAAAAAATTAAAGTTTTTTTTTCGTTATAAGTACCGTACATACTTTTATATGCATTTAGTAAAAAGCTATTTTTTTTTATTCCAGACATCAATTTTATTTATTCGGATAGATATATAGATAATTAGTCACTTTTGATTAGGTATTAGAGCAAACATTTACCAAGAAATAAATACACATAAACACTCCCTGCTATAATGGTTACTTTCGATCAGAAAAATAATAGAATGTTATATAGATATTAATAACTGTATAATATAAACACAAAAACACAATATATTGATGTTTTGACCAATATGTGATTTGAGGTACTATAATTAACCAGTGACTCCATCTACACATGCAACTATAAATTTAAGGTAAGCTTTATGTAGTGCCTATTTATAATTGGACTTACTCTGCTATTTGGTAGGCACCAAAAACCCTAACATAATATACTGATTTTTATGAGAGCAAAACATACACAACTCATAGTCTACAGGTGAAGATTTTTTGTAGTAATACTTTCATAAAGAAATATCCTGTGTATATGATGAACGAATCCGCATCAAAACATGGTTTGCAGACTACTACATATTAATTAAATAAGCGGTTATTTAAAAAAAGATTTGTACCTAAACATGTTTTGAGCAGAAACATGTAATCTCGTTTCTGCTCAAAACTGTTACAATGTTGTACATAATATATTACACAGCTACAATATAAATAGCTATTTACAAAGAGTTCGACAAAAATATTTCTGGAATTAGTATATAATATTAACATTGAGCCAAATAGCTGTGCTGACATTTCTACCTTTAATGAATTATTTAAGAGTAACTACATATACACAAACATTAACAACATTTTATTTAAACTTATTGCATTTTAAAAATGTGAGCTGGTATACATAACATGCAACATCAATCCTTATATTTGATTGGAGTTATAGTCTTGTAATCTTGTCACACTATTAAGTATTTTTAAGTATTGTGGAACCTGCCATAAGTGTTATCGACCACAAATCACGATTGTATGCTTCTTCTATTTTCTTAAAATTGTACCCAATTTTGTTGATTTGCTGGAGTAATTGGATTCTGACTGGTAGCACTGAAAATACAAATATTGTGTGTCAAAAACAAATTTCGAATTATATGATAATCTTATCTCCTATTATCTATGTGCCCCACATAAGGTTAACAACACACTGAAAACAATTTGCGAGTCTTAACTTTTTTTTTTGAATTTCGAGACTGTAAGTATATTATTATTACAGTGCGGTATGCGCTTCCCCTCCCGTTTCCCACTCCGCTTGCCGCCTCAATACGGATTACGAAGTACAAACCCTCATTAGACTCTGACGTTATTCATTCAAGTTGGTTTCTGCATGTAGTACATATAACACTTGCGATCTGCCCCGGCTTCGCACAGGTGATATCTGGATCTCGATAACAGCGCCATCCAGCGGGATTTTGTAAATTTATATATATATATATATATATATATATATATATATATATATATATATATATATATATATATATATATATATATATATATATATATATACATGAGTTTCAGGAAAACTCTTATCGATTATACTATCATTTCTCGCCACAGACTGCACTGTGATCAGAGTATATCTGCATGCATGAACAGCCGTCTTGCCTACAGATAGGACATATTATAACTAAGGTAATATGAGCCGAAGTTTTGCAGATGCAAGTATCTATCTATTTATACAATATGTAAAGAACACCCTGTCCAATCTGAAAAAGGGCAGATAGGTACCGCAAAGACATTACTAAAAATTATTAAAACTTATTGACTAGTAATAGTGTAAGAATATCCACTACAATATGGCGTCTATGCGGGAGACTGTGTTCAGCAGTGAAATTTTGATGGGTTGTAAATGTTAATGTTATTTAAAATACATGTCTTTTGCTGAAATTTTCTTAAAATTCAACAAATTATTTAAAAACCACGAACACAGCTGTTCTGATTCTGACAATCCCATCAGTATCTGAAGCTTTCAGTTTTCAGTTTCAGTTTCAGTTCAGTTTCAGTAACCAAAGTTTAATTACATACGTAATTAAACTTTGGTTTTGTGATTTGGTTACACACTTACTTGTTTCACAATATTTATTTAGTTATTAATTTATTAATTATAGTTGATATAATAGCTTATTAACTAAGTTAACAAATTTGATTGTTGAAAACCCACAGTCAAAATCACAAAACGGAAGTTTTGAACAATTGCAAGTATAAATTATATAATTAAATTTAATATTGTTTTTAGTGAAGTAATATTTATTTATTCTGTGACATTGTAACTGTTGAATATAGATGACATAAACAGAATCATATCATAATACCTAAAAGCATCCTAATAGATTGAAGGGGTGTTTTTACATAATGTAGATTAACAAGTTGACAAACCTGAAAGCAAGTAGCTCATGCACAGCAAACCAATCAAATTTGAGTATGAAACCTGGTCCCTTTCCTCACACTCTTTATCTCATGAGCCAAATGGCTAGAACTGCTGTAGCATTAACAAATCATGTTTTTACCTTGCAGAATTGAAATCGCCCCATTCAGAATTACCAGGTGTAGGTTCCGCAGGAGACGGTGCATGCTGAGGTGAAGGAGGAGGAGGAAGGCGGGATCCCCCTGGAGGAGGTGGTAATAAGTTTCCTCCACTGCCACCGACAGCACGCTTAGGTCTATATCCTTCGCTACCATCTTTTTTCTAAAACATTTACAAAAATTGAATATTTAAAAAGAAAATATAAATTGTTATGAATCCTATTTTTATAATTTGAAAGTACAGTGGACCCTCGGTAATCCGGGCCCTGTCTAATCCGGCACCCCCGTAATCCGACATGGTCTATTATTTATTATTGAAAAATTTTTGACAATCTTCGCTAATGCATGACTTGTACGCACCACCACTATTGTGCTCGACGCATAGGGTATTGTTTTGATTCTGATTGCTTTTGAATTTGACTACATGTGATGAGGATAGCGGTGCGGCCTAGCGTGTGTTCAGAGAAGAGTACATATACAACATGTCCCAAAATTCAACGATAAGCCAACACCGGAGGATAGACCTGCCCCGGACTAATCGGGGAAAAAAGAAAAAAAAATATATCCCAATTATATTTTAAGTTATATAAAAAAAAATGAAATTCTTCAGAAATTGAGACCGTTTATGATATTTTTCACTACCATGACCACAATTTTTTAAATATTTGTTTCTTTTTTTTTATAGGCAACCTGAATAGCGCTGCTATCTACCACAATTCTTAAAAAATCCGGAATAACTCTTGTTTTATCACGAAAATTAATGAAACTTATTTTATTCCCTAAATTTTTTGAAGACTTTTACTTTTAACCAACTTTAACTTATCGTGGTGTAAAAAAAAGTATGAACACTAGTAAGGCAAGTTTTTTTAAAAATTGACGCAACTAACCAACATTCCAAAATGGTATAATACTCTAGGAAAACAAGTTATAAAAAATATGGGCCTATTATTTCTTAACAGGGGCCAAATGACGGTCGGGTGTAATAAAAGTATTAGTTCTTGAAAAATGTTTAATATTTCAAAACAAAAGGTACAAACAGTTTCACGTGTAATTTATTAAGTTATTAACATTATAGCAAATGTTCGAACTGTTTGCCACCAGCATTAATACATGCACATCGCCTTAAAAATGATCGTTTTATTTGTCTTGCATATCTTCTGCTATTAATGTAATCAGCAGCCTGAGTGTTATTTCGACGAAGCTCGTCCAATGTCGCAATGGGTTTTGAGTAGACCCTGTTTTTAAGACAACCCCAATAGAAGAAGTCCAGGGGGTTCAAATCGGGTGAACGGGGTGGCCATAAGATAGGACCAAGTCGCCCGATCCAACGCCCTGGATACTCTTGATTTAAATATTCTCGCACGGGACGGGCATAATGTGCTGGGCAACCATCATTTTCGAACCACATGTTTTGGAGATCACTTAAGGGCACGTCGTCTAACAATTCTTGAAGTCATTTTGTAAAAAGTTTAAATAACTATTGCCATCTAAGTTTCCTTGTAACTCAAAGGGCCTAATTACTTTTCCATTTAATATGGCGGTCCATAGGTTAACCTTGAATTGATATTGGGATTTGTCTTGTCTCATCAAGTGCGGATTTTCATTACTCCAACTATGTAGGTTGTGAAGATTTAAATACCCATCTTTCTTGCATGTTGTTTCATCCGACCATAGAATTTTGTCTAGGAATTGGAGATTTTCACTGTGCCTTTGCAGCATCACACGGCAAAATGTGACTCGTAGCAGATAGTCCCGCGGTAATAACGTCTGCACACGCCTGTTGTAATACGGGTGAAGCTTGTGAGGTTTTAATATTCGATGTGCAGAACTTTTCGGGATTCCTGTAGATTCTTCTATGGCACGTACCGAAGTAGTCGAATCATTTTCTATCTCATTGAGAACTTCTTCATCACGATCCAATGTAGGTCTTCCAGCGCTTCTCCTATTGGATGGCATACGACCCTCCGAAAACGCTTGATGCACACTAATAAACACTCGATAATCAGGATATCTTTGAGCATTTGGGTATCTTTCTCGATACAGTCTGCTAACAGCATTAGCATTACATCAGCATTCTCCATAGATTAAATGCATATTAGCGGATTCCTGTGGTGTGTACGGTTGCGGCATGTTAAACGCCAAACAGTCCAAAATGCGCCAGAACTCTAAATCACAAAACACACAATCGTAGTCCAAGATAATGCCAGGTCAGTTCATTTTGCAGGTCGATTCCAGTCCAAAAAGCCAAGCCAAAAGTCGATAGTATGTACGAGAGCCACGTAAGTTGAATTGGGAACGGTGCGCAGTAAACAAAGGAGCAGAGCGTACTGAACTGACTTGCTGAGAATAATAACAGCTTCTCTATCTGCCCTGTTGTCTATTTTTAACGTAAATATCTCTATCTATCTATCTCTCTCTAACATCTAAGGTATGTATGCCCCATTCAAATTCCTAGAAATTGTAACAAGAACCCATTTTGGGTATGTAGCACTGACAATTACAATTTAAGGAATTTGGCCGCTGTTTAGAAATAATAGAGTAGACCCATATTTTTTTGTAACTTGTTTTCCTAGAGTATTATTCCATTTTGGAATGTTGGTTAGTTGCTTCAATTTTTTAAAAAACTTACCATACTAGTATTCATACTTTTTTTTACACCACGATAAGTTAAAGTTGGTTAAAAGCAAAAGTCTTCAAAAAATTTAGGGAATAAAATAAGTTTCATTAATTTTCGTGATAAGCGATGATTGTGGGTAGCTCAAGGATGCTTGCTAAAATAGATGCGGCTAGTCTACCTCCCGTCTATTATAATGATCGTCTGATACCGTTCTCTCCCTCAGTTAAAAATCTTGGTCTCCATATTGATAGTACTCTGTCCTGGGGGGTTCATATCTCCGAAACATGTCGTAAAGTCTCTGGTTCTTTACGTTCTCTTTATCGATTGAAAAATTTCTCCCCTTTAAGACTAAAATTATGCTTGTACAGTTACTTATACTACCAATCATTGATTATGCAGATGTGTGTTACCCGGATTTAAACCAAAATCTTCTCAACAAGCTAGAGCGCCTTCTCAACAACTGCGTCAGATACATTTTCAATCTCCGCAAATTTGATCATATTTCTCACTATCGCTCTCGCCTAAAATGGCTCACTATTAAACAGAGGCGTGACTCTAGAATTTTGCTTGTTCTCTTCTCTATCTTAAATGATCCAACCACTCCTTCTTATCTCAAGGAGAAATTTCAATATATTTCCCTAACGCATGATAGAACTCTGCGTTCCTCATATAATAATAAACTAAGTATCCCTCTACATTCTACTAATTTTATTGGTAAATCCTTCACAATTCAGGCTGCACTGCTCTGGAACTCCTTGCCCGATAACGTCAGAAAAACATCTAATAAGATTGCCTTTAAAAGATTGGTACATAAGCATTTTATGAAAATATTAGATGATAGTTAATATGGTTAATTTTGGTTACCTTTGTTGTTATTTTATTTATAGGTTTATATTATATATCTATTTGTATTTAAAATATGTATATATTTATGTATCTATGAATATGTATGTATATATTATATATTATCTGTATTATATTTAGGAGTATATAAGTTTATTGTATTTGTATATATAATATTAGTTTGTTTTTAAGTTTATCAGTAGTTGTTTTCCTTGATTTACTCTATTGTTCATTTTATTTTGTCACCTATCACATAATTTCCACACGTCCCGGGTTGACTGGGAGAGAATGCCTAATGGCATTAAGTCCGCCCTTTGTAATCTTTTTATGGTGCAATAAAGTGTAAATAAATAAATAAATAAATAAAACTAGAGTTATTCTGCATTTTTTAAGAATTGTGGTTGATAGCAGTGCTATTCAGATTGCCTATAAAAAAAAGAAACAAATAGGTATTAAAAAAATTGTGGTCATGGTGGTGAAAAATATCATAAACGGTCTCAATTTCTGAAGAATTTCATTTTTTTTATATAACTTAAAATATAATTGGGATATTTTTTTTCTTTTTTTCCCAGATTAGTCCGGGGCAGGTCTATCCTCCGGTGTTAGCTTATTGTTGAATTTTGGGACATGTTGTATATAACATATAGAATCTTTCATTGGATCTGTAATTTGTCGGATTACAAGGTACTCTTTTGTAAAAAATTCCGGACTACAGGGTGTCTAAGGCAGCACTCTATAATCAGACAAATTTGATAGTTCGACACTGCCCTGCAAAACGTTTGTCGGATTACCAGGGATCCGCTGTAATTGTAAATGCTAAGGTCACTTTATTCATAAAAAATAATGTAAATTAACTTTCAGTTGTATTATATATAAAAAAAATATAGGAGATGGCAAACAAGCGTGCGGCTCACCTAATGGTAAGTGACTACCACTGTACATGAACAACTTCAACACCAGGGTATCAGAAGGTGCGTTGTCGGACTTTTTTAAAAGCCTAGCTCTTTAGCTTTTTAGCCTTTGCCAAAGATAGGCTTTAGGCTTTCTTCAAGGTCACTTGTTCTTATTGTTTCAGAGAAATTGCTCATGGTAGATAATTCCACAAATAAGTTGTGCAAGGCCTTTCTTGCTATAAATTTCTGGTAAAACACAGTGGTAGACCGCCAAGCACCCACTCCAGATGGTGGGGATGGTATCGTGAATTTTGTTGCGATGTCCAATGGCGGATTTAGCAGTTGGAATTAATCCAAACAATTTGTCTGAGCACTCCCAGTGTTAAATGCAACATCTCTTTCCAGAGTCAGCGATCTGAGCTAATCAGAAAGGTTTCCGGTCAAGAGTTGGAACAAGTGATGGTGTAACATAACTGTAAAACTGGAAACCTAATTTTAACTCACTCTGAATGAACTGTTCACGATAGGGATCATAAAGTTTCTGTGGCCACTGAAGTGGGATAGGTCAAATTCTAATTTCGCCCCCACCTCCCGCGCTTCGCATGCTATCTACCGACATGTTTGTAATTACTGAAACTGTAAGTACATAGGTCGTTAGATACTTATTTCATTAGGTTTATCATATTTATGCCTGTTTCTTTACGCCTACCCAGTCACTTCTTATTTTTATTACGGTTATTTCCAACTTTAATTTTACGCCGTCCTGTTACAGAATGTGTATTCTGATCGTAAGCGACACAACTTTCCCGTTCGAAAGCCGAAGCGAGATTGAGCGGGAGTATCGGGCGGCAGGAAACAAGCTTCAGAACGCCGATAGTTTAGGTAATTTCTTTTTATAGTGAAAATAATGGTAATCAAAAAAAACATAAGCCCTGCTTTATAATAGCGATGGGTCGAATATTCGTTTTATATTCGGTATTCGGCATATTCGGCAGCTTTACCGAATATTCGTATTCGGCCGAATATTCGGCTAAATCACCGAATATTCGTTTTCATAGTGTCCAATGTATTGAAATGTACGAATTGAGTAATGCGATATCTTTTACTGATGAAAGTATATTTCATTTATGGGTTGAATCTACTTACTCTAGAGTTCCTCAAATGCATAAATCTATACATTTATATTTTTGAGGCACTGTGGAATTATTTCTGATTATGTCAAATAGAAACTTGATAAAATGTTTTTGGAATTAAACAAAGAAACATTACGTTACATTAGTACATTTCACTTTACTTTGGTCATCAGTTTCTCTAAAATAAGTTCAAATAGTAAATCATTTATAAATGAGCGGCAGGAGATTTACTATTTTAATATATGATAAATCATATATTATCAATTTTCACTAAGAATAAAATTCTTACGGCTCTTTAATTTATTCACTAATAATAAAGAGCCGTGGTAGCTCAGATGGTTAGCGCTCGCTGTAAATTTCACAGTGCGTGAGCAAACCGGGTTCGATCCCTGCTGGCACCAATGATATTGTTAATTGCAATTTAAGTGCTGATTTACAAATTTTTTAGAAAACATCGTGAGGAAACCTGCATGTCTGAAAAATAAGAAAAAAATTATTTCGAATACATGTGAAGTTCGCCAACAGGGCAGTGCGACAATTCCTTGCCCTAAAACCCTCTCAGAAATGAACGGAGGCCTGTGTCCAGGAGTGGGACGTATATAGGCTGTAACTTTAACTTTAATTAAGAATAAAACAACGAAATACTTTTTTTATCACAAGAATAGTCAAAACATACACATGTGCCGGCAATTTGCTCAGTACTAAATAATGCAATAAATGTCAGGTGTGGCGGGGAGCGAGAGGCAGGGTCCGGTGCTAATCCCGCGCGCTTTACGGTAACAAGTTCGACATAAATTGGTTAGGTCCCGAGGTTATCCTGCCGAATAATGTTCGGCCGAATATTCGGTTCGGTAAAAATTTTACCGAATATTCGTCCAAATATTCGTATTCGGTGAAATCCATATTCGGCCCATCCCTACTTTATAATTAGTTCAGTTAGTATGCACAGATTCATGATCTAGTTTAAAGTATTTTGTGAATACCAGCGGTTTATTGTTCGGTTTGGAGGTAACTTTGGATTTTTTTCTATCGAGAAAATTTTACGGAATCGTGTTTTCGTCTAACATAGTACTTAAAATTAATCCTCAACTTTACCTACTAATCTATTTAAACAATTAATTGAAAATATAATAACAAATGAAATGAAATTGTTACTATAACCACTCAAATATCTGTGAATATTAAAGTATGTAAATGCACAAAACTTTACACACTCTGAAACCCTATAAAAGATCCTTTGAACTATATTTTTTATGGAATTAGTAACAAACGAGCACACAGTCCACTTGATGTTAAGTGGATACTGTGGCCTGTAGACTTCTATATATATCCTCAATTAGGAATCAAAATGCAGATGCGTTGCCACTCCTGAGGACAAAGATGGAATGCCTTGTTTCCAGTAAAAAGAGCCTCCTGATCTCTACACTCACCATACGAAACACAGCAGCATTAAGCTGCTATTTTACGCCGGTATTCTGTGAGTGTGTGGTCTTACCCCGGTCGAGCTGACTCATTCGTAATACAACCATAATATAGCTATAGAGTGGCTCTACCACATTTAAATCTAGCAGTGTGAAGTGTTGAGTGATAGAGACTAAAAAGAGGTCAATGGCAACATTTTCATTTTATTTGTTTTATTTTATAATAATAAAAATTAAATTATCCTTACAGTAATTTTCATGTTAATTTTGATTGTCTCTCCATCTTTAAAACCCAAATCAAGGTTCTGCTGCTGCGTTTGTTCACCTTCTTGTTCCTTTTTCAACCATTTAAAGTGATCTTGTAATGCCACATTAAGGTCAAATGAGTCTGACCTATCCCCAAAACCTAAGCCTATGTAGGCAGTTCGACCTGAAATAATTTCCAAAGCAAAACTAGAACTTAAATTATAATAGATATTTGACTTTATTTAAAAAAAAAACTAAGTAACAGCCTACTGTATGCTTCCTACAGCTGGATAAATACCTCTTCACACTTCTAAGTGGGATTTTGTGTAAAAAAGTTAGACTCAGTGCCTCAATGACATTTGACTAAACATTTTCTTAGATTTTTTTTAATTACTCAGACATGTTTCTTGCTCTGTTGAATACATGATAAATCAACATTTTAATATTTAAATTATTAATTTCATTGGGACTGGGGGGCAATCAAACTAGTTAAGTTCAGTGTGAGGATTATCCACCTAGCTAATAAAAGCTTTTTTATTTTTAAGAATAAGGGTGACAAACTAGCACACAGCCCACCTGATGATGCTGCGGCCCATAGACATCTACATTTACCCTCAGGAATCAAAATGCAGTTGTGTTGTACCCCTGAGGACTGAGATAGAATGTCTTGTTTCCAGTAATTATGGTCTGCAGTTTGTACATTTACCATAAGAAACACAGCAGCATTAAGCTCTTATTTTATGCTGGGTCACATTGTACAAAAATTATGTGGTTACTAATAGCTATGAGCATTAAAACATATAGAGAGTTATAGAATCATTTATTTTCTTTATAACATAGCGTATTTTTGAAACGCTCCCGAAAACGAAGACAGACGATAGTACGAAGGATACCTTTGTTTTGTGAAAAAAAAAATACAACATTTAATTAGCTTTATTCACGTTCGTTTTGTTAGTACAGCTAAATGAAACGATAATTTCATTAAAAAAAATCATGAAAATAGCTAAACATAAACCAGCAGTAAAACTTAAATATCTGAAATCAGCTGATAAAGGCTCAAAAAACACACGAACGCTGAACTCTTTTTATCAAGCTCGGTACGAAACAATACATTAGGTATTACTGTATTTACGCTCACTATACCCTTCCTTTTCACACACATGTTGCGGCATTGCCAACCCGAAATTTACTTACTAAAATTTGCAGGCGAAATAAGAATTAGAGGCGGCAATCACAATAAAACTTGGAATTAATTTTAATAGTTATGACTTACCTCTTTTTAAATTCAAAGTATTGGACGGATTAAAAAAGGACAGTCACTTAAAATAAAGTAAAAGAATTATTTTTTGCAATTGGTTTTAACTATTAAATTACTCAGTACCATTTCATTTCCACTTTCTTATACAAAATCAAAGATAACAATGAAATTTTGTTCATAATTGTGTGAGTACCCTTAGGTACATTTATTCCTTTCAATATCATTTTTGTAGTAACAAACTGCTTGTTGCGTCAGGGTACATTGATTATCTAATTGTATTAAAAATGACAACTATAACTTCTAAATTCCATATGAAGACTAGTCGTTGGTATAACTAAACTTATAAAATTAAAGTTGGGAATGTCGTAACAATTTAATAATCTTTGGAATTGTCAAAGTGCTAACTGCAAGAACACACGAAAGTAGCGGTGGTGGTGGGCTTATTTAACTTTTGAGACAGTTTCGTGTTGACGTGCGCGTGAGCGACAGTTCTATCATTTGTTTATGAAATTGTTGTAATGTTTTGTGTTTCTTGTTTTGTTTTAATAATACCTAACACGTACGTTTATAGTGCTCGTGAATACGGAGGCATGTTAATGTGCCTTGGAAAGTCCCCAACGCATGCCCTGCATAGGGGACTATCTGTAACGCCTATGGTAAACAAATGTTTGTTAAAAGAGCTATGTCCTGTGATAGCACTTGTAACTATCCTGGTCTGTGGCTTGTTCACGTCTCATTAGAACCTTGGTTAGGCGACTCTTTATTTCAGACTGGGTCTCCCTAGCTTGTCTACAGTCTACTATTTTTTTCCAAAGTTGAGCGTGTAAATTATTGAAGTTTCTATGTACCAGTGAACAAACATAACCAAAGGGGATTAGTATTATTGGTTCCGGCCCTATAGTGGCTAGAGCCAATCCCCTTCTGGCCAGTTTATCTGCTGCATCGTTGCCTCTAGATCCACTGCCCCTTAATCGATTCCAGAGTCACATTGTTGTGCTTACATACCTCATTTAATTGATGATGGCATTCATATATTAGTTCAGAGTTCGCCACATTACAACTCAGAGCTTGTAGTAAAGCCATACTGTCAGTCAGTATTCCAATGGAGAAGTCTTCCTTCTAGCCCTTCTAGCCCTTCCTAGCATCTATTGCTATGGCTGCTTGGATGATACCCATACATTCAGTTGTGTTATGGGTACCCAGCGGTGTGCATATGTGGATATTAAGGTCTTCAGAGAAATTTGCAGATCCTACACCTTCATTTGTCTTCGAACCATCAATGAAAACTCTAAGCTGTTTTGGGTTTAATCCCTCCAGCTTCATTTAATTGTATCTTATACTTCTTATCGAAAACAAATTAGAATAGAATAGAATAATTTTTTATTCAATATAGATTACAAGTATTTTGAAAATTCTTATTGAAAGTCAATATTTTACGTTACCACTGGATCGGAAAAACACCTCTGTCCTTGGAAGAACCAGCACGAAACACAGCGGGACTTTTTTTTAAATAAATTTTAAAATGTCAAGGGTCACAAAATATTTACAAAATTCATTTTAGAAACAGCTTGGAAGCGACTACTTCGTTCCCAGGGGTTATTATCCACCATGTAAATTTTGGAATCCTATTGTACTTGGTTTGTAAGGTAGGAATTTTTGAGTAAATTTTATCAATTATAGCTGTATGGGGGACTCTACTCTTACTTAAAAGATTTACGGTCTTGAGTCTAATGGCAGCTAAAGGTGCTTCTTGTTATATGTGCAGATAAACCAGTGTTAGCTTCAGTATAGCCTCTAAAGCTGCTGTTGTAGTTCTTGTGCAGCCAGTGGCAGCCATACATGCCAATCTCTGGTAATGCTGAAGTAAGAACTAAGTTAGGTATTTAGACAAGTGTTGTAAATTATTAGTTATAGTATGATCGCAGGCGGCACATGAGTAGATAATTTATCTACTCATGTGGCTGTGGGCCGAGCGGATTCAGCGTCGCACGTACAATAACCCTTGTCAGCTAGATTTTAGGTATTAAAGTTTCACTGCCGGTTCTATGTTTAGGTATTTTCATAGTTTTTTTTTTTAAGAAATTATCATTTCATTTAGCTGTATTAACATGATAGAGCATGGATAAAGCTAATTAAATGTAAAAAAAATTTCTTTTGCATCACCATCGATTATCTTTTTGTTCCATCATCAAATGTATCCTTCGTACTATCCTCTGTCTTCGTTTTCGGAAGCGTTTCAAAAATACCCATTATAAATAGCTATGCATAACCCTTGTAACTATCTATTTTTATCACAATCTGCAACATTGCAATGTTGTGTTTGTTTGAACAGGTCAGGTTGTGATTTTATTATTACATGAGATTTTAGTTTTATATAAACCTAGTTTATTCACAAACCCATCATAAAATATTGTATATAGTTAACTGATTATGTAGTTAGAAAGATAAATTATTTACATAAAATTAACTTTTAAGTATGCCTGATTCACTCAGCAAGTCCTCAAGAAAGTAGGAAGAAAAGTTCATTTCAGCAACTAAATTAGTGTTTAAACATCTTAATAGTTTATATCACGTAATGGACATAGTTGTGGTGATAACTGTTCTATGACTAGGTATTGTTAAGTTACCACTATGTGGAAAATAGCCATTTATGAATTATAATTGATACTATAATGTTATCCATTGTACAATAACGATAACATCACATGACATGGGAGAGAGAGTCGGGGGACGGAAGCCCCACGCCACTTAATGTGGTGCAGCCGAGGGAAGCCCGGTCGATGGAACCCGCTTCGCGGGGCTCTTACTTCTGAGTGGTTTACAAAAAAATAACCACAAATGTAATACCAGGGTCTATTGCATATATATGTGCTATTGCTCGCTATTGCACCCAATATAACACCAAAACATTAACTTTTATAACTACTTTAATTTATAAACATAATTTATGGCTGCCACCATTTGTAAGAAAGGATCTTTGCGATATTTAGCAGTATTCCGCCGCCACAAATATTCCACTATTCACCAAAATTATGAAACTCTGAAGCAACGACATGACGAAAAACTGTCAACAAAATGGCCGGCCTAGCGAATAATTTTACACATTTTTAAATTGATTCAAATCGAAATTGGATGAATCAATTCACAAAAAATTGAAATGGTAAAGATCGATTTTGCAAAAATCTATCTTTTTTTGATTTGTGTTAAAAGTTTATATTTACAATATCAAAAGATACAATAAGTACAGATAACATTGAATGATTGAATTAAAAACTGCCATTCTTTACGAGTTAGAGTATATTCAACTAAATATAAATAATTTTACAAATCTTAATAAAACAGAAAAAGTTTCGATCTCGATTCTCTAGGGTGAAATATCGATTCACTAGATCGATTCAGTACTGTATATCGATATGACATTGATAGATGAAACGTCAAAAACGGACTTCCTTCTATATCACATAGGCGAAAAAGAAGGTCAAAATGGGGTAGGATTTATTCTCAAAAAGCACATAGAACAATATGTTGATGAGTTCATAGGAATTTCGAACCATTTAGCAGGGCTAAATATAAAGTTATCCAATTACGAAGATATGTGGTCTGTTGTGCAAGTTACTCTCCAACTGAACAAGCAGACAAAAAGACAATTCAAGAATTCTATGAGAATCTAAACAGTACTATAGAGAGACATACGCATAAAAACTTAATAGTGATGGGAGACTTCAACGGCCAGACAGGTGAAAGCTTGCCAGAAGAAAAACGTGTTCTCGGACCTTTTACATATGGAACTCGACGAAGCAAAAATGGAACAAGACTCATTAATATGTCTTTCGAAAACAACCTCTATATTCTAAACAGCAAATTTAAAAAGAAAAGTTCAAGGAAATGGACATGGGTATCGCCAGGAGGCAAATACAAAAATGAAATTGACTTTGTTCTCACCAACAAACTAATGTGTTTCACTGATTTAAATGTTGTGAACAAATTTAATTTCAACACGAACCATAGAATGGTCAGGGCAGATCTCACACTACGACATATAAAGACACAAAGACCCAGGAGGAACTTTGTTGGTAAGTTGAGTATTCAAAACCTAAAAGAAGGTGCAAATAAACTAACCGAAAGATGTGCAGACTTTGAGAAAGAAACCAAGAACCTAGATATTCAACAGAAATACGACTGGTTTGAGACTTCAATCAAACTAGCAAAAAGTACCTGCACTAATAAAGAAAAGAAGAAAAGCTATTTATCAATAGAAACAAAAAATCTACTCGAAGCAAGGAAACAAGTAATCAGTTCCAGAGACACAGAGAATCGTAGAAAACGCATATCAGAGCTGAGTAAAGATATAAAACAGAGTATGAGAAGGGATAGAAAACAAAACAGAAGAAAAAAAATAGAAGAGCAAATCATTAGAAATGGAGGAACAAAAAAAGCATATAAAGAACTGTCAGAATCAAAAGATTGGGTTACAAAAGTTAGAAATGAGAAAGGAATAGAACAAAATAGAAGATCAGACATAAAAGATATTGCTACATCATACTATAAACAATTATATGAGAACACACAAGAAGAACCTGGCGAATTAATAGTACTAAACGATGATGAGGATGAGAGCATACCCTATATACTGCAACGAGAGGTAGAAGTAGCATTACAGTCCCAAAGTAAAGACAAAGCCCCAGGGCCAGATGGCATTGAAAATGAAATCCTATTAATGCCAAAAAATGTCCTGTTACCAATTATCACGAAACTATTTAATTAAATTTTCGCAAACAAAATTATCCCGATACAATGGACGCAATCTAATGTAGTATTGTTATATAAAAAAAGGGTGATAAACTTAATATAGGTAATTATCGCCCGATCAGCCTTATGTCCAACTTATACAAAATATTTGCGAAAATACTGCTAAGAAGACTGGAAAGAAAATTAGACGACAACCAACCAGACGAGCAAGCAGGTTTTCGTAGAGGGTACTCAGTATTGGACCATATACACTCACCGGCACAGAAACTTGGCCACTCGTGAATTTGCTGATTATTTGCACTGAAACGTTTTTTTAACAGTAAATTAAGGGTAGATGCATTCAATAAGTGTCTCTAATGGTTTTAGAACATAGAAATTTAATGTTTACTTCACCGAAATTTTTCTTTTCAAGATAACATGTTTTCACTAAAATTAACATCTTTCCATTGTCACTTTAAAAACACTACAAAGTTAAAAATTAAGGGTGTTTCCTCCTCTAGCCCTGATAACCGCTTGCATTCGATCTGGCATGCTTTGAATGATGTTTCTGACATCAACTTGCGGTATGCTGTCCCAAGCGGCCAGCGCTGCATTTCGGAGCTCATTTAGAGTTTGTGGCGGTTTGGAGCTGGACTTTATCTTTCTTTTGAGCATACCCCATACATGCTCAATTGGATTTAAGTCCGGGCTACGAGCTGGCCACTGTAATTTTTGTATTCCAACCTCTTCCAGATATTCCTCTACACAATGTGCGACGTGCGGGCGTGCATTATCGTGCATGAGGAGGAATTGGTCGTGTCCAATGAATCCCGAATAAGGCATTACGTGCTCCTGAAGAACTTCCTCGATGTATCGAGTAGCTGTAAGCCGATTATCGACGATGACCAACTCTGTACGTGCGTCGGAACTTACACCTCCCCATACCATTATTGAGCCTCCATGGAAACTCACAGTTTGGGTGGTGGTAATGGATAGAAACCTCTCTCCTCTTTTTCTCCACACTCGTTCTCGACCGTCTGGAGCATGTAAAGCTATTCGACACTCATCTGTGAACAACACTCTAGCCCATTGCTCGTGGGTCCAATTGACATGTTCTCTTGCGAACTGAAGTCGGGCTACTCGGTGCTGTCTGAGAAGTTCTGGACCTCGTGCTGGTCTACGAGCTTTTAAATTCACTTCCTCCATTCGTCTTCTCACCGTACGCTCACTAACATTAACGCCTCTTGCGATTTGGAGCCGCTGGCGTATCTCAACAGCGGTCAGGTAGCGGTTTCTCAAAATCTCCATAACAATAAAACGATCGTCCCGGGCCGATGTGCACCTTACGCCCCCACTGCCTGGCCTGCGGGTGTAGCGGCCTGTCTCCTGGTATCGTTTCAGTGAATACTGCATTGAGGACCGTGGTACGTTAAGCACAATAGCAACTTCACGCTGTGTCAGCCCTTGGTCAATTAATGCTACTGCTTGTGCAACTTGTGCTGGTGTTAATGGCATTTTTATTGGCTTTAAAGCACCTTTAGTTATTTAATTAAGACACAAGATCACAATAATTGAATAACCTTACAGTAAACTTTTCACAACACACAAATTTAAAATGTGAACTTAGTCGCTCAAATGACCCGATTCAACTAAAAATTAAAGAATTCGTCATGGTGCACTTAAACATAATGAATTACCCTCTTGAACTTGAGGGTAAACATTTTTTGACATACTTGCATAACAAACATTCATCAGAAACACTTAAAGCTTTTGCTATCGCAAGATAACAGCTTGGCCAAGTTTCCGTGCCGGTGAGTGTACATGTTATGAGGTAGATTATAGAAAAATCCCATGAATACAACCAATTATATTACATGGCATATATAGACTACAGCAAGGCTTTCGACTCTTTATTTCACAATAAGATATGGCAGGCCCTAAAAGAACAAGGTATCGAAAGCAAGTACATAAGGATACTGAGAGAGATATACAAGAAAAGTACAGCATGCATACAGTTAGAAAAGAAAGGAGAACCATTTAGCATACAAAAAGGTGTGCGACAGGGCGACCCGCTATCCCCAAAACATTTTTCTGCGGCCCTTGAGATGATATTTAGAAGACTAAATTGGGACGGATATGGAATAAGTATTGATGGAACTTGGTTAACACATTTAAGATTTGCAGATGACATCGTTCTCTTTGCAAAAACCCCACATGAACTGAATGTCATGGCAAATGACCTGGCATTAGAAAGTCACACAGTGGGATAGAAAATGAACATGGAGAAAACGAAAATAATGACCAACGGACCTAAGAATGAAAATATCAGGGTTGGCCAAAGTGAGATAGAATACGTTGATGAATACATCTATCTGGGCCAAATGATCTCACCCACAGACAACATGGAAAAAGAAATCAACAGGAGAGTAGCAAATGGATGGAAAAGATATTGGAGCATGAAGGAAATAATGAAAGATAAAGAACTGCACATATCCATTAAATCTGAAGTGTTCAACACATGCATTCTTCCTGTATTGATATATGGATGTCAAACATGGGCTCCTACTAAGTTAAACAGTAAGAAATTAAACATATGCCAGCATTCGAGGGAGCGAAGCATGATGGGAATCAGGAAAAAGGATCGAGTCAGGTTAGAAGACATTAGGAAAAACACAAAGGTTTGGGACATAGCAACAAAAGTCAGGAAATTAAAGTGGAAATGGGCTGGGCATATGAGTAGAGGGAAGGAAAAGTGGAGCAGGAAGGTCACAGAATGGTACCCCAGGAATGGCATAAGAAAGAGGGGGAGACCCCGCCAAAGATGTGAGGACAACCTGGTCAATTTCGCGGGTGTGACTTGGAGCCGGGTTGCCAAGGATAGAAACGAGTGGAAAAGGTTGGAGGAGGCCTTTGCCGATTGGCAATCAGCAGAAGACAATCTAGATTTTATATGACTTAGATATTAAGAAATTGTATTACATACTGTTGAATAAATGGCTTTATTTTATTTTAATGTTTTTAAAAAATAATTAAAAATACTTCGACGCTGCTCCGGCAGCAAAAATCGAGTGGGGGTGCTTAAAATAAACCCCATTGACCCCACCACAGTGACAGAATCTTCAAATTCATGCGGCCGAACTGTAAGCCCAACCCCTATTTTCTAATGTTTAATATATAATCAAATTTAAAAAAAAATACTTTTGTTAAATAATGTTCACAAAATCTTATAAAATTCTATAGGATAAAATATTTTTAATACTACTTTAAATTTAAAATGATGTTTATCTACCTACCATTATCATCCTGAATCCTCACAACAAAATAACGTGAACTGTCAGTTACAGCCTCTAGAGCTACTCCTGGATACTTATCAATAGGACACTTAGCAAACAATTCTCCAGAAGCTTTATCCTCTAACTTCATTATCAATTCATCGCCTTTCGCAACCAACCGCATACGCCCAGTCCATTGCGGCTCTTGTAAATTCCAATCTGCCGCCCTTAGGAGGTGGTCAAATAATCAATAAATTCAAAAATACTTGTTTTAAAAGACTTCTCTTAATTTACTTACCTGTAACCCCTATTTGAGGGTCTCGGCGGTATCTTAAAAACGAATACCTCGTTCTTTACAAGCAACACACTTTCATATGAATCCATTTTATGAACCCAAAAGAATTCTCATTAATTTTCCAAGATCTAATGCAAATAACAAATGCAAATAGAATAGAATACAATAAAAAAAGGGATTAGTTTCAATTATGAGCGGTTACCTTAGTTTAGTAAAAATAAATAAATAAATTAGCGAATTTGAAGCAAGCAATCACCATAAACAGACAATAGCAAGGACAAAGAGCATAGATATTCTTTATTATGTTATGTTGGCAAAGACACAGATTAAATAAAGTTAATACGTTAGCAAACGTAGACAGAGAAACCTATAGAATAATGATTAACGTGGCCTTGAGTGAGAAAGGACGATAACGTAGTTTTAGGTTATACTACTATCTTTATGACTTTTAGACATATTTAGATAAAAATTTTATTTGTTCTAAGAACTGAACTGAATAAGATTCACCAATCTTAAGCTCACAAAACACTTTTTTCTCACTTCAACTTGTAAGCTCCTTAGATCGCTGCGAGCTGTCAAAGTTCAAAAAATAACCGGCACGGCGAAAGGGACAAACAATCACACCGCTCTGTCTCATTTCTATGCAAGACGTATGCATAAATCTATCTTTTTCGTGTGCGAATGCGAAAGAAGGCGTCAATTTGTCTATAGGTTTCTCTGTCTACGTAAGCAAATCGTATAATCCATAGAATATATTATAGAGGTTAGAGAACAGGAGAACGATCATTACGTGCTAAAACATAGCCTTTGAGTATTAAATCAAAGGAGGCGGCATCGCAAGGCATACCTCTTTGTAAAAGGTACGAGAGTTCGACTCATACCGGTTATATAAAACTAGTTGCTCCGCGTCGTGCGCCATTCCGGAGTGATCGTCCCAGTAAATCGAGCTCCAACAAAATGCAGAATTGCAGTGCATTTATATAAAAAAACAATCAAAAACGTCAAATATATAAAAGGACAACTTGAATTTTCATCTACGAGTATTTTTAACATACGATGGTTAGTGTTAAAGTTTAGTGTTTGGATTACTTCAGTGTTTATGAAAGCTCTATGATTATTAATTGTAATATAGTCTATTTCGTTCCTATAATTTCTATCCGGTGATTTCCAAGTCCATTTGGTTTTTTTGTATTTCTTTCTGTAGAGGCTGTTTAGTATAGTTAAATTAGTTTCTGGCATGAAATCAATAATTTTTTGCCCATTCTTGCTTCTCTTACCGTGACCGAATCTACCAAGAACATTTTCTTCACCACTGCTTCTTACTCCAACCTGTGCATTAAAGTCACCCATTACATCATCATCATCATCATTACAGCCCTTCACAAGTCCACTGCTGAACATAGGCCTCCCCCAAGTAATGCCACAAAGCACGGTCCTGAGCCACCTGCATCCATCAACTTCCTGCATGTCTTACCAGGTCGTCACTCCATCTAGTGGGGGGTCGCCCTACACTACGCCTACCGGTACGAGGCTGCCACTCGAGAACCTTTCTTCCCCATCGGTTATCGGTTCTTCGAGCTATATGGCCGGCCCATTGCCACTTCAGCTTACTAATCCGTTGGGCTATGTCGGTCACTCTGGTTTTACTGCGGATATCCTCATTTCTGAGTCTATCACGCAGTGAAACTCCGAGCATAGCCCTCTCCATAGCTCGCTGAGCGACCTTGAGCGTCCTCATACGGCCAGCGGTGAAGGACCACGTCTCAGATCCGTAAGTCATCACTAGCAACACGCACTGGTTATACACTTTAGTTTTCAGAGATTGAGGTATACCTGACGAGAAGATGTGTCATAATTTCCCGAACGCTGCCCAGCCGAGTTGAATCCGTCGATTGACCTCTCGGTCGAAGTTGGACTTACCTAGTCGGAATATTTGTCCCAGGTAAACGTACTCGTCAACAACTTCGAGCATAGTGCTCCCAACAACTACCGGCATAGGTGTGACATGGACATTAAACATGATCTTTGTTTTGTCCATGTTCATCTTAAGACCTATCCGTTGGGAGACACCATTGAGGTCATTGAGCATAGTGCTAAGGTCCTCCAGCGATTCTGCCATAAGGACTATATCGTCGGCAAATTGAAGGTGAGTGATGTACTCGCCATTGATGTTAATACCGTATCCTTTCCAGTCCAGTAGCTTGAAAACGTCTTCCAACGCAGCGGTGAAGAGTTTCGGGGATATAACATCACCCTGTCTTACACCTCTCTGCAGTTGGATAGGTTTCGTACACTGGTTCTGTACTCGGATAGCCATCGTAGCCCTACTGTACAAACACTTCAGCACTTCAATATACCGACAGTCAACTAGGCACCGCTGAAGAGACTGTAGCACCGCCCAAATTTCGACGGAATCAAAGGCTTTCTCATAGTCCACATACGCCAGGCAAAGTGGCAGATTGTACTCTTCGGACTTCTGTACAATTTGCCGAAGGGTACACCCATTTGTATAATTACCCAATCCTTGCTATAACCAGGTAATGTCATATTGACATAGGCTATACGGTCAGATATGCCTCTGAACTCCTTTATTTGATTCTTCAGCGAGACTTTAATAAGGAATCCGACTCCCCTTTGTTCCGGAATTACACCTTTATAGTAGAGTATATATTGATTACGGTCTTCGATTGATTCTCCAAGTCTGCGCATTTCGCTGATCCCCAATATGTCCCATCGTAGTTCCGATAGCGCGATTTCAAACTCCTGAAGGTTTGCTTTTGTTCTTAGAGTTCTTGTGTTAAGAGTTAATATTTCGATTGTACCTCTTCTTTTAGAACCTGTTTTTGTTATTAGAGTTTGTTTTTTATTCGATAAACTATCGCTGGAGGGTTCTGGTCTAAAGCTCTCGCGGCGACCACCCGTGTTGAGAGCTGTGTTTAATGTTTTGTAGAGTTTTCTTCCTCCTCCTTCCTTACTCTTATTAGATGTGGAGGGGGCACTATTTGTTGCTATTCCGTAGACCCCTAAACCTAAACTTTAACACTAACCATCGTATGGTTCGTTCATCTCTTCTGTTGCTACCTGCAAATAAATCACGCAAAATAATCACAGAAAATCTCAAAATAAGTAACAAAGTGAAAGAAATAAAAATGCCTTATACTTCTCTTTCAAAGCATAGCACACCTCTAAGGGAGAGCCGGAAGGAGCTAGATCTACAGACAAGGTACAACTTAATAGAAAACCAACTGAGTGGCACATCTACTTCCTCAAAAGACAAAAAACGTAAATTGAGTACAGAAACAATCGAACTTATAGAGGAGAGAAAAAAAATTTATATCAAAAACTTGGAAAGACGGAAAACTCAAAGAAAGACAGCTTGCCGCATTAAGTAAAACTATTTATAAAGCCATTAAAAATGACCGGAAGAAACACAGACTGGAAGTTATCGATAAGCACATCATAAAATCAGGCGGAGTAAGGAAGGCACTTAAAGAGCTACGGGAAGTTACCAAGGAATGGATCCCCGAAATCAGAAAACAGAATAAAGCTTATACTAAACGTAAGGACATCATAGAGTGTGCCACTGATTTCTACCGACGTCTCTACAGTAGAGAAGTATCGTTGCATAAAAAGTTTAAAATGATTATTATATATGACGAGCCCCTACCTATATTATGTAGCGAGGCAGAGAAAGCTTTAAGCTCACAAAAACTAAATAAAGCACCCGGACCATACAAGATTACGAATGAGGCTCTACAAGGAACATCTAAGGAGTTACGTCCAAAACTTGCAAGAATGTTTACTGAATTATTATATAGAGGTCAAATACAGTATCAATGGTCAAAATCACACATCATATTGATAGACAAGAGCGGAGCAAAAGATGAAATAAGCACTTACAGACCAATCAGCTTAATGTCGAACATTTACAAAATATTCGCTAAAATAATTCTCGACAGAATCACTCTTCAATTAGACGAAAATCAACCAATAGAACAGGCGGGTTTTAGACGTAACTTTTCAACCATTGATCATATCCACACGGTTAAACAGGTTCTCGAAAGGTACAATGAATATAATAAACCACTCTACTTAGCCTTTGTACTTAGACTTCACCACCTCAGATTTATTCGAATCGTATAATTATTGCAAATCTGAGGTGGTGAAGTCTTTTTCCATTTATGTTCAAGCCCATTACATCCCAGTTTATTTGTCGGAATATATTTTCTAGAGTCGAGGAAAACAGCTTTATAGAAATAGGGTCACCTTGTCTGACTCCTCTTCTTATAGGGAACTCGTCTCCTAGTGTTTCGAGGTATATTCTTGCTGAGCATTCATCATAGACTTGTTTTAGAATATTTATGTACGTTTTGTGAATGCCTTGCCTTTCTAGACTCTCCCAGATAAATTGTCATTTTTAATGGCTTTATGAATAGTTTTACTTAAACTATTCTAACTCTTTCTTTGAGTTTTCCGTCTTTCCAAGTTTTTGTTGTTGTCTCTTTCGCCGTACCGGCTTTTTTGTTTAGCAAACCACACTTTGCTAAACAACTTTGACAGTTCGTAGCGATCTAAGGAGCTTACAAGTTGGTTTAAGTGAGAAAAGTGTTTTTTGAGCATATCCACTCTAATGTCCGCCCCGCGATGGTAAATATGCGTCAAACGTCCAACTACTCGCCACCTCAAGCCGCGCGAATCTGTCCCTGCTACTCGGTAACAAAACCCTTTGTAACAGCTAAAATATAATAGCTACAGCAAAGATAAAAATATTGCAACATAGCTAGACGTTTATAGATTGAACTTATTTATTTGAAAAAACGATAGTGATGATCTATTATACCTAAAATAAGGTTTAATGTCAATTCCCGAGTGGAAAATAAAAAAACAAGTCTTAAAAAATCGATCTCTGAAGCGATTTGAATCGAAGGTACTTGAATCGATTATCGATTAAATCGAGGAATAAAAGATCGATTTTCGATTAATCGCGACATTTTCAAACATGAAATTTCAAGAATTTTCGATTTTTTTTCTTTAACTTCTAAACTGTAATATTTTTTTAAATAAAATATTAGTAATCTTATTGATTAAC